GGGCCCACTCTTGACAAGTCATTAGGTTTCACTCTATATGTCCAGGAAAAAAACAAAACAAAACAAACAACAAACTTCTGTGAAGGCCCTCCCAGCTCCAGGCTCCATCTGAGCTCAGGTCTCAGCATCCAGCTGGTGTTGAAGCAGATGCTCCACCAAACAGCCTGCAGGCAGGAGATGGCCACAGGGTAGGAGATCCAGTTGGTTTTAAACTGGAAGTGGAAAACATGAAAAGCTAACCGGAGCACTCTCCTGCTCCCTTTCTGAAAGGCTCCCAGCCCTGCCACGGCCAGCTCCGAGGGGAACTGCTCAGTCTCCTACCAGGGGTCCCACCCCCCTTTCACATAGGAGACTTCAGTGCAACTGAAGAAGGTGAACCAAGGAGGGCTGCTCAGCAAGATCAGCCTTTGAAATCATCTACCAGAGGATGCCTTTGCTGTTCCTGACCCAGCAGGACTATCCTGGGGCCATGGGTGCAGCAAACAAAACCAGGAGCACCATGGGCCAGGGGAAGGACCTCCCCTGGGCAGCCTATAAGGCTGATGAGCTGGAGATGGAAGGCTCCACCAATACCCCCAAAATGCAGAGCCCCAGTCTGCTTCAGGCGTCAGCAGGACCGATGTCCCTTCTCCTCCTGCCCTGGAGTTCGCCTGGGCTGCACCTACTTGCTGGAGGAGAACTTGGGTCATTGGGGCTTTGCCATCACAGCCCCCACAAAGGTCCAAGACAAGGAAAGGAAAATGGTGAGGAAAAAGGAGGAAGGGGAGTCACATCTTGGGATAAGTGTAAACTTCCACCACACCACAGAAAAACTACTTGGACTAGGTTCTCCTCAGCTGCCCTGGGGGAAAGGCGCTGAGCCAGCTTTGTGCGAGGATAGAGATGTTTCCGAGTGACCTAGTGTGCGGCTGGACCACCCTCCTCTCCCCCCACACCTCTTGGGTAACTGAGCTCTGAGGTCAACGCGATCCCCAGGGAGGATGCACGTGGCGGCTTCCAGGAGTCAGGAGTGCAAGGGGGACGGTCCAGCCTCGCGGCCCAGCCCCTCCCCTGCCATCACTGCGCATTGATTGTCTAGCCAAACCGGGCTACCGCCTTCAGTTTAAGAAGGGGACCCCCAGCCTCCCTGCTCTGGAGGAGCTTCAGTCACAGAAGCGCTTGCGGGGCACCATCCGAGCTCGGTTTGAGCGTCGAATCTCCTGCTTGGCATCGCGGCATCGCTGGCAGATGAAAACCTCAGGCACGTTGGATTTGCGGATCTTGGCACAAGAGAGGTGGATCCAGGTAGCGCATTCGTTACATTCGATCATGGGCCTCCCTGCAAAGGGCTTCAGGCAGAAGCAGGTGATCAGATCCCAGGCATCGTCGTCTGGTCAGGGAGAGAGACACCAGTCAGAAACCCCCTTACCCAGCTGCAGGTCCGGCTGCGGGGGGGGGTGGGGGGTGGGGTCGGGAAGGGGAAGAGAGAAAAATAAAGACCAGATGAGCAAGGCACCCCTACACACCACTTCAGACATGTTTCAGGTCTGTACCACTCGCTCTGCAGAACAGAGCTGCCAAAGGGCAGGCCAGCTCCCTGCCCTCTGCTCTTCAGTCCTCCCAGGTCCCAAAAGTACTCCCCTTGCAGGGAGAGGCTTGAGGCATTGACAAGCCCTCCCTACAGCCAGTGTGGGTGGCTCCAGCTGAGGGAGGGACAATAATTCAGCACTGGCCATAGCACAACAGGGCCCTCTGCTCTCTCTTAGACACTCACCACTAAGCTGGGAGCTCCCTCTGCTTGCATCTTCCCCTTCGCTTTGGTCCAAGGTACTGCAAGAACTGGGGCTTTTCCTCCCTCCAGAGCAGGGGTCGTGCTCCTTTAGCGGAGGATCATCTCCTGCTGGCTTCTCGGTCCCCTGCGCTTCATGCACCCAGTCCTTCTCCTCCTTCATCAGGTCATCCAGGAGGGAGTTGGGCTGGATGTCCCCAGCCGGGTTGAGGGAAGGCTCTGAGTGCTGTTCTTTCACAGGAGGCACCTGTCCCTCCAGCGCAGCCAGCTCCTTCACCCCGTCCTGCTCTGCCCCAAAGCCCTTCCCAGCGCTCGGTGGCACCCTCTTCTCCACCTCCTCCTCCAAAATGAGTTTCTTTGCTGGTGGTTTCTTCCGTTTGGTTTGCTGGGGCCGGACATCGTAGAAGCCAGTGGGGAAGGCAGAGCAGCTCATGAGCAGGCTGT